ACTGAGATTACTAAAAACATTCATGTTTAGTCACTAAAAATATTTAATTCCATTCGTGGTCACTAAAATTAGTAAAACATTTCAAGTTCGGTCACTCTCCGTCCAACTCTGTTAACTTTGGCTGATGTGGCAGTAAACTCTCAAAATTGACCGTTAAATGTGTGACGTGGCACTTAAAAATAATAAAAAATTAAAATTTTATAGTTTAAATATTCCACCTAATTATTATTATCACTAAAAAAAAATTAAAACCTAATTCTTCTACTACCTCCGCCGAACCCGCTTTCTCCTCCCAGACTCCACCCGCCGCCATCACGGTTGAAGGTCCGGCTGGTCACCAGGAAGCGAACCATCATCGCCAGCATCTACCAAATCATCAGCTCTGATCCTTTGACCTTTTCATTGATCACACAATTAAACGCCGGCACAGGAAACGTACTCGGAGGCGGCGAGGTGAAAAAAGTCGATCCTGCATACATCACATCCACGGCTTTATTAAACTCCTCCACCCTAACCTCCTTCCGAACCGTCTCCAGCTCCGGCCCAAACCGCTATGTGTATTTAGGAATTATTCCACAATTAAACTACGAAAATGCTATACTCTTTCAATATAACTTGAAGAAACAGAGTGTAGAAACATAGTCGAAAACTTGGGGAGTAAGTTGACGACTCACCCGGTCATCAAGAGCGGCAGAGTTTCGCCGGACGAACTTGTAAAACCCACGGCGAACCGCCACGCGGGCAAGCTTCTCCGTGCTGACGTTGGCGGCCCGGAGGAGGGAGAGGTTACGCGGATCGAGCGGAGGGCTCTGGAGGAAGAGGTAATTGCTGACGGCGAGCTGAATCACGGCGTCGCCCACGAACTCCAGCCGCTAATAGTTCCTCGGGCTCAGGATCGACGACGAGTGCGTCAGCGCATCCACCAGCAGCTCTTTGTCGTTGAAGACGTAGCCAAGTATTTTCTCCACCTCGGATACCGTGCCGGCGGCGCCGTATTGGTTGAAGAGGATCTGATCCATGGACCAAAAGGAGTTGCAGAGACACAGGGAGTAATTCGATTGCAGAAATTCAGTTGAATAGCTTTCCAGAAGGCAGTGCGATTTCAATCATTTAAGCAGCCTCAAGAGGCAGACGACTGCTTTTTTCCGAAGAGGAAAACGGTGTCGGAAAGGCGACAAGAGGAAGACTAAAGAGTCTACAGAAGACGACGCGATTGCGGAGCCACAGCCGAAGGTCTTGAATCGAGCATCCACGATCTCCCCAGTCTTCTCATCGACCCTAATCTGCAGCTTCATCACGTCGCCGCAGGCCGGCGCCCCGACCAGCCCGGTGCCGACGGCGGGGTCGTTCTTGTCGAAGGAACCGACGTTGCGAGGGTTGTTGAAGTGGTCTATCACGTTCTCGTGATAGAATCGGGTAGCCACAGGGCGAGACGACGACGACGACGCCGCTGCACGGCCCAAACACTTGTTCGCCGCTAGCCTCAACATCGTTTTTCGCCGGTAGAGATTGGAAAATTTCCGATTTGAATTGACGGAGGATGGATGGAGGTTTTGCTTCTTTTGGGTGTGTTTGTAAGGGCTACGACTGTTTGGATCGTATGGCGGTGGATGAAGGACAGGGACACGTGGAGGGAAGAGATGGTCCTAGAGGCTTTTTTTTGGTGAGATTTTTTTAGTGATGATAATAATTAGGTGGAATATTTAAAATATAAAATTTTTATTTATTATTATTATTTTTAAGTGCCACGTCACACATTTAACGGTCAACTTTGAGAGTTGACTGCCACATTAGTCAAAGTTAACGGAGTTGGACGGAGAGTGACCGAACTTGAAATGTTTTACTAATTTTAGTGATCACGAATGGATTTAAATATTTTTAGTGAATAAACATGAACGTTTTTTGTAATCTCAGTGACCAACCTTGCAATTAACCCAAAAATGTCATATGATTTGTTGTACTCATTGTGCTCATCGATTGTTTGAATGTGAAGTACCTCTGCACCAATAAGGTAAATCCATTCTATCATGGGAGAAATTATTTTATTTACCTTGGGAACCAAAAGACAAACACTGAATTGTTATCCATAAATAATAGTGATGACTGTATGTCGAGTTTGTTTATCTTGTTCATCAGTAATCATTCAATTCTATTTATTTATCTATGTGCATGTTCATGCAAGATATGTTAATACTTTATACCATATATGTCAATACTTACTCCAATTCAAACTCTGCTCGCTCCGTTAAAGTTCTCATTTCTCTATAGTCTATACTTTGTCCCAGATGATCCTCAAGACATCCAATATTGAACAATCATAATTCTTTGTTTATTTCTCATCAAAATATAATCCATTCTTGGATTCAAAAAACACAATACAATATTACCAACATGACATTGAAAAACTATTAAAATTAATGTGAAAACATGTTTACAATAATACTTCATTAATATAATTGGATGATTAAATGCACCAAAATTTTTTTATTTTTGTTCTACTTACTTGTTGCTTACTTTGTGAGTATTGCTTATAGTTAAATTGATTGTTGGCCGGCGGCTGGGAGGGGGGGTGGTGAATAATTAAGAGTGAGAAAAAGTACAAACTGAAATATAAAATGATGTATTTTTGAATTGCATCAGGATTCTTCTTTTCTCATACTAAACATGTCTATACAATTCTAAAGGTAAAAAATATAATATTTTGTTAACATGCTTTTTTACAGAGATGTTAAAGATAAACAAAACCTTTGCAAAAAAAGGATTACAAAAAACACAAGATAGGACAATGAATTGCGCTAAAAGAAAACAAAATGAGAAAAAAATTTAATCTCATTCGAATATAGCATGTATGGACCAATGCCTTCTATAGTGATGGCAATGGGGCGGGGCGGGTACCTCAATTCCCATGCCCCGCCCAACGCTACTACGGGTCGGGGCGGGTAAAACCCGCGCGGGTACGGGGTGGGGCGGGTCGACCCACTCTTACATGTTGTTCAAAAAAAAATACAAGTAAATTTTACTTTTTACAATAAAACGTAGGGAAAAACACTTTAAGAATGAAAAATATTGATAATAGAATGGATAATTGAGCCTAACAAGTTGAAAGATCGACTCTAACTAGTTGAAGAAAAGTCAAAATAGGAGAAATATATATAGATATTGTAAGAAATTGAGATAAAATGAGTCTAGAACGGGGCGAGACGGGGCAGGGCGGGTCAGAAGTAGATACCCATGCCCCGCCCCACGCAATTGCGGGTCGGGTAATACCCGCCCCATCGCGGATCAGTTCGGGTAATACCCGTGGGGCGGGTTGAAATTGCCATCACTAGCCTTCTACGTATGTCTTGTTAACATCCAAATAGCAAAAAATTAAACATAACACAAAAGCGTTGGCCATAAGCTAGTCCATAAGCAATTAGTAGGCTCGAGGGAAGAAATGGTGCAATAGGTTGCTAGTTTATCCTTGCGTAATTTTGAATCTCAGGTGAAAGGAAACCCAAATGACATTTACACATCGAATGCAATACACGTCTAGTAGTAACCTTTCTTGCTATGTGACATATGCAAACTGAATTGTTGACTGACCCACGTGTCTACGTAGCACGAGTCCCACGAGAGAACCTCGTAGGGGATGGCATGATATAAAAACATAGTGAATCGGGAAATCCATTGTGGATTCCCTCAATCACATATGCATATGTCAGTTATCGTAACTCTAGGGGGAGTAACACTTTCCCTTCTTCTTTCCCTCGTCTAGTAGTTTAGATTTACTTGTTATTTCTTTTACTTTTCTTTCAATACAAAATCAAGGGAAATCAAAACCTAGAGGAACATCAGCCAACACGACTTGATTTAAAAACCAAGATCAACTTCCTTATTGCCTGAGTAAGGGGACGTGAAACGCATGGAGGAAATAGAATCATGGTTACCGACTAGGTAAATTCTACCTGTTTTTATAGCATATCAGGTACGATGTTTACCATAGTGGTACAATGTTGTCCTTTAGTTGTATAATGTGGAGTTCTGTAGGAATGTGCAGATCAAGGTTATGCACCTGGTATGCTCTCGTAAATTAGTGTTGAAGACCAAGATATCTAGTAAAAGGATGTGTATTTGGGCCCTTGCAAAAGATTTTATTTTATTAACATTTTTTATACCAAATTGGTTAAATTTAGTTTTTTGAACAGACTACACTCAAATCATCACAATTCTTTCTTTTGGTCTAACTGCCGCTCGAACCAGTGCAACTCTCATTTGAAAATGCCATACCCGAATCCATGCTACTCTTCAGATTGCATCCTCTCGTTCCTTAGAAATTTCCATATCTTCACTATTTTCGTCACTAGTTCTTTTGCACAAAACTCTATTGAAAAAAAAAAATTCTTCGCTCTTCCAAAACATAAAAAGTTTCATAAGATTCGCTCTACTCATTGTGCTCATCGTTTGTTAGAATGTGAAGTACATCTACACCAATAAGGTAAATCCATTCTATCATGGAAGAAATTATTTTATTTACCTTGGGCACCAAAAGGCAAACACTGGATTGTTATCCATAAATAACAGTGATTACTGTATGTCGAGTTTCTTTATCTTGTTCATCAGTAATCATTCAATTCTGTTTATTTTGCCAATATGCATGTTCATGCAAGATATGCTATAACATTATACCATATATGTACTACCTAATCAATACTTACTCTAATTCAAGCTCTGCTCGCTCCGTTAAAGTTCTCTTTTCTCTATACTCTGTCGTAGATGATCCCATCAAGTATTGAAAAATCATAATTATTAGTTCATTTCTCATCCAAAGATAATCAATTCGTGGATTTAAAAAAACACAATGCAATATTAGCAACATAAAAGTGAAAAACTATTAAAATTAACCAGAAACATGTTACGGTAATGCAACATAAGGGGAAATGTTTAAACTATGAGTCATCAATATAATTGGACAATTTAATGCACCAACAAAATTTCATTTTTGTTCTACTTTACTTGTTGCTTACTTTGCCGGTATTGCTTATAGTTAAATTGATTGCTAAGGGGAGGGTGAATAATTCATTGTAAAAAAAATATATATAAATGAGGTATTTTTTACTTGCATTATGATTCTTCTTTTCTCATACTAAACATGTCTATACAATTCTAAAGGTAAAGAATAAAAAGGATTTATTTTTCTTGAGAACTTGGAAAAATATAATATTTTGTTAACATGCTTTTTTACAGAGATGTTAAAGATTAAAAATACTTTGCAAAAAGAAAAAGGGATTACAAAAAACACAAGATAGAACAACGAGTTGCGTTAAAAGAAAACAAAATGAGATAAAATTTTATCCCGTTTGACTATACCGTGTATGGACCAATGTCTTCTGTGTATCTCTTGTTAACATCCAAATAGTAAAAAATTGAGCGGAACACAAAAGTGTTGGCCATAAGCCACAACAACATCCTCCCAAAACTCAGTTTTTGCACTTTTCAATTAATCTTTTTGCGTTTGGAAATTAATATTTTCTCAGGTTTTAACTTCTCTATGTTGTGCGTGAAAGCTCATTATAATATGTTAAACAAACAACCAAAGCTTCTTTGCATGTTCCTCATTTAATTTGTTGCCTTTCATAATTTAACTAAACAATCCAAACTTAACTTGCGCACCAATGTCATCAATCCACTTTTCTCCTTGTATGAAAGGGTCCACTGTAAACTTCATGGCCTCATCTCGATTGATCACGTGAAACCCCTCCCACTTAACTCGACCATCTGTTTTTGATCCTGGTCCTTCATTGCCAAACTCCGCATAATACAATGTCTTTAACCCTTTATCTCCATCCCAAGCCAACCATCCTTCTGGCTGAATCACGTCCTCGATCGTTGATTCCATTACCACTGTTCTAGAATAGTCCCTCCATGGTCGCCCAAGATAGCTTTTTGTCTTGCTCTTATCATAATCCTTGTCGGGCTCAATCCTACAATTTTGGAGTACAAAGCCTGTGCTCTGAAACTTGTCCATCCTTCCACTAGCTGTGATGGTATTTTGTTGGTTAGCCATTGGCTTTCTTAAAAGAATCAAGCAGTTTTGGAAGATTGCTGCTGCATCTCCAAATATGAAGTCCACAGTCCCAGCAATCACGCAGCTACGATAGAATTGGCGATGGTTTTGGGAATAGAGTGTGTCTTGGTAGCCTTCAAAGCGTGAGTTTAGGAACACTGCTTTATCTGCTTGTACCCGTATAGCCACAGCTTGGTGCTTTTCTGCCCCAGCCGTGTTCCTAAATCCCATTGCTTGGCCCAAAAACCCGTGTGCTAGTACCACTGCAAACATTAAAATGTCCCAAAATTATTTGTTTGTTTAAAAATAAAATCTTGTCTATGGTGTGAATTACTATGTTTACTTGTCATAAATTTATTATTTATATGTCTTCTTGTCATTGCTAAAAAACTATTGTATATAGTCAAGTATGTATTCTGAGTTCATGCTAAATAATTAAGCAATGTTACTATGTAATTTAATATAATAAACAACTAATATTTTTATAAGTAGGTATAAATATGTGTTCGTACCAAAAGTCGCAGTCTGGAAAGTTCGAACACCATCAGCAAAATTCTTACTTCCAGTAACAATGCTTTTCTGCGACCCATCGCCGTAGATGGTAAGGTTCTCCATCCTCTTTTCTATGGTCACACTTTCTTCATATACCCCTTCCTTTACATAAATGACATACCTGAAATATCAGCATAGTGTCACCATTCCTTTCATGAAGTAATTTTCACATTAAAATATAACATTAGAAAGATGAGAAGTTGAACAAAAAAGAAAGCACACCTTCCATCATATTGATTAGGAATGGCTTTGATTGCATCGTTAATAGTCTTGAAGTCTCCACTACCATCTTTAGCAACGACTTTATTGGGCTTCGGCTTGTCGGCACTAGCACCTTTTAGCATCCTCCTATCTTCGTGTGTAAACCAACTCGGAAAACCATCCTCATCCAAAGAAGATTCATTTTCCAAAAGCCGACGACTGGCACCTCCAGGCAATACAATGTTAAGCGCCGAGAGCAATGAATTTGATGTTGCTACAACAGCGAGTGAGTTACTTGTGAACTCCTTGGACGCATTAAAGCTCTTTTCCATGTCAGTTTTGGTCGTGCCATTGGGGAACCCGTCAATGCAGGTTTGTTGATATGATAACACAGCGCTAAGCCAATTCTTTAGCTCTGGCCCGTTATCAGCCATCTTCTTAAGGTCTTGTCCAGCCATAGAAATCGAACTATTTAATTCATCCTTTGCCTCCGCGATCAAATTCTTGCAATCTTCTAATGCTCCTTGAACCTTAGGGTCATCTAGTTTCATGTTATTAATCTTTTCCATAACGCTTTGAATCTCTGTGCTCACTGCCTGGATTGAAACCTTGATGAAGTCTTCAGGCGTAATAGAGGAGTTTTTCTTGATTGCATCATCATATGTGGTTTGACATCTAGTTTGGTAAGTGGAGGAATTGCAAACAGTTTTCACCATTTTTTGAACGTTAGCAATGCCACTTGTCCCCTTAATAATATCCCCTCCTCCTTCTTTGTCGTCTCCTCCTTTTTCTTTCTCATCATGTGGGGTTGGATCTGCCCCCTTTTTAGTAGCTTGATCTTCCTGATGGTCTGAATCTCCTGCCTTGGTAGTCTTTTGGTGGTCATCCACATCCTTGTTTTTGTTATTTTTCATCTCCTGCCCAACGTATGCATAAGCACAGGCGACGATGAGGACAATGCAAATGATCGCAACAACACAAGCAATGATAAGCTTCTTCCGAAACTTGCGTTGTCTCTCCAACCTCCTCCTTTCTGATATTTGATCAAAATCCTGGAAAACCATTTTCTCTTTCTTTTTCTATTACAATTTTTTATTTTCGTTTTTGTTTTGTTGATCTGAGGAGGCCGAGCACTGCAGGATGGCTACTGGCTAGCCTCTCTGCCTTAGCTTTTGTTCTAAGGCAGAGAGAAAGGGAGGGATAATCAATAGATTTGTCGTTTTTAGGCTTAAGAAATTCTTGTGTTTAAACTTGTTTGGTGCCCTATTTTCTAGGCTCTCATTTTTATTTTATAGTTTTTATTTTTTGGTGATTTTGGCTTCAACTCTTTGAAATTAGTCTTATTATTATTCAGATGACAAAAGAGCTCTGGTCGAGAGATTTTCAAGCTTTTCTATTCAAAAGTTAGTTATTTTCTCTTTTGAAGAAATGGGTGATACACATTTCTCTTCTCCTTCCAACCGTATTTCCCGCCCGATTCTTTTGGGCTCGACCCACCTATTTTGCTTTTCTAGAAAATAAATATCATCAACGATGTCTCATTTTTTTCTTCTTACAATTGATTTGGTGTATATAATATATATGTTATGAGGTAATCTTCAATATCTCCATTGATATTCCTGAGAACATTCCTAAAAATAACTCTTCTCCATTTTCTTATATAATGACCCTCAACACATTCTTAATAAACTTATTTCAAAATTATATTTGACTGAAATTTTAAATTTTACATTACAAAATTTTGAGACACATAAAATATAACACGTCTTATTACACATCAATGAATCGTACTATCTATAAACACAACCTGATTAAATTAATTATTAGCATTTTTTAAATGGTTGAAATATCAACTATGCAACAAATAGCATTTTTTAGAAGTACCTTTTGAAATTAGATTTTGTAGTCAAAGACACTAAGAGCCTCGCACGCATGGGTGCGAGTTCAAGTGGACATGCCTTCCTTACCAAGCAACTATGTCACAAGTTGCATGCTTATAGGGTTGAACCTCCAAGTTCCTCGCGGGCATATGTGCCTTTGAAAGCATCCATGTGGAATCCAAGCTTGTCACCTAGATAAGGTGGATATGCAATGATGGGTACAATATAGACAACGTGATCACATATCAATTTGATAATGGGCTTTCTAAGAGGCAAGCTCTAAGTTCATCATGAGTGCTGACACAAGTTGAGGTGTACATGGTCTCATCACTAGACGACCATGTGTACCTCAAGACCTCATCACCATACGGGAAGTTAGGACCCGATAAATTTTTGTAGATGGACGAGAACTCCTCATCATTCAAATAACACTCCTCAGTATGGTGGTCATGTCGAGCAAAGACATGAGACATACATGGAAACCTTACGGAGTGACATTGGAACAAAGGGACGACTAGGGAACAACTACCACTCATCCCATGATTGAAGCCATGTCATCAACATTTGTGGAAGAGATAACACTTCTTCGTCGTTGTTGCCGCCATTTGACTATGAATAAAAGAAACCTTACTATCTTTCATGATTTACACTTGGTTATGCTTTGCTTATAATGTTTCAGAGCTCATTCTTATTGAGGTTTGATTGGAAATTTTTGTGTACAAAAATAGACCATTTAAGATAGGGTTATAGGTATAATATGCCCCTTTACTATGAAGTTTTATCAAATATGCCCTTCTACTATTTTTAACATCAAATATGCCCCTGTACTTTGAAAAAAATTATCAAACATGCCCTTCTGTTAAAATTTCCATTGAAAAAATCGTCAATCATGGTTGAACCGATATTTAGACGGCCCGACATCGGCAAATGGGGAGAAAAATGTCAGTTTTGTCTCCTGTTTTATTTCTTTGGGTCTTTTCAAAGTGAAATTATTTGAATGATTTGATTATACAAAAGAACCAAAAAAATCTATAGTGAAAATTTCAGGGATATTTTAGTCATTTGTGTCGCCCAAACTAAAGTTTGGTCTTGGTTAACGGTTTTTGGATGAAAATTTTAACAAAAGAGCATGTTTGATCATTTTTACAAAGTACAGGGGCATGTTTGATATAAAAAATAGTAGAGGGGCATGTTTGATAAAACATCATAGTAGAGGGGCATATTATCCCTATAACCCTTTAAGATAATATTTAATATTGTAACTTTAACCATGAATCAGGCCATGATGAGCATATTTCAAATTGAGGATCACTTATCCCAAATAAACCATTTGAAATTAAAAATACATCAAATTATCATAGTATCTCATTGACTATGACATCCTTCATAGTCACTACTAGCCTCCCTAAATCAAATGGAATCCCTAAGTTTGCCAATTCAAAATAAGACGAGTAGTGAACATGCTTGTAGGGGATGTTATTGCCAAGGCCAAAGGCAACAACCCAAACCGCAACACATATAATCTAATGTGGCACAATCACCCCAACTTTGCATGGTCTTCACCCACATCCTCTCGTCCACTTGGATTTCATACACTAGTTCAAGGTTGCCAATAGAGGCCTCCCTATCAGGGACAACATTATTAGCAACAACAACCTCCATACCGACCTCCTGGTCAACCGACTTCTTCACATCCTCTTCTAGACTAGGCGTCCAAGTTTGAGGAGATGATGTAATAGTTTGTGAGCACTAGTAATCATAGGTTTGGACTCCTTGATAAGTTTATTGATATGGAAAACGAGAAATTCCAGAATCTAGAGGCAGGCTTTAGGAATCACTAGGCTTCTCGACATAACCTGGAAATAGATATTGACACCATAGCTCAGGCTCACACTTCTAGGGCTTCTGGTGCACTATTCGATCACACAATTCCCAAAAGACACAAAAGACCCAAAGGCATATCTGAAGGATATTCTCCTTAAGTGTGGGAAGGAGACTATAGATGCTCATGCTCCTAAGTCACAGGAAGGTGTACAGTCCACTCCGGCACAATCAACGTTGAGGAGGAAAAGGAGGCAGAATTATCCAAGTTCATGGCAATGCTAAAGCAGGTGCACATCAACCTACTATTCGTGAAGGTTATATCGTAGATTCCCAAGTATGCTAAGTTCTTGAAAGACTTCTTCACCAACAAGAAGAAGCTTGGGGATCTCTCCATTTTGATGCTAAATGAGGAGTGTTATTCCATGATGCATAACAAGCTGTCGGGAAATCAAAAAGGCATAGGAAGTTTTGCTATCCTTTGAATCATTGGTTCTATGTATGTAGGAAAGTGTTTGTCCCTATGAGCTAATATAAATGTTATGTCATATAAATTGTTTACAAAGTTAAGCCTAGGTGAATCCAATGCTACTAATGAGTATTCAATTGGCTTTTAGTTTTATCATGCACCCTAAGAGTATTGTAGAGGATTTTCTAGTCAAAGTCGGTAGATTCATTTATCCTATTGATTTTTTGATACTTCAACTAAATGAAGATGTGGATGTACCCTTGATCTTAGGTAGACCTTTTCTGGATGCCACCATGGCACTCGTTTATATGCATGATGGGAAATGCTGCGGTTGGGAATGAACAAGTCACTTTTTCCATTTTCTGATAATCTGAAGCATTCTCGTGTGCTTAATTATCTGGAATATTGTGATAATGTGTATGATTTTGGGACATCACGTGCCATCACCAGTGCAGGTACTGATGATTTTCTTGAGCAATGTCTTTTGATAGGAGAACAACCTTCTAAGAAGGCGCAGCTTGCAGCATTAGATGTGGTAGTGATACAAGATCATCAGCCACCAGTGGTGTTAGTCTCCAGATCAATTTGGATCACCACCTCACTGGAGGAACCACCAGATTTGGAGTTTAAGCCCCTCCCTAGTCACCTCAAGTATGCATTCTTGAGGGAGGGCAACAAGCTTGCGCTCATTATTAGCTCTTCTCTCACACCTGGTCCTGACTGTTGGTATGCTTTTGATAAGTTTTGACCCTGCTCTTGTCTCATGTCATCGACTATACTGATCACTTTGCAATTTGGTTCCTGATGAGAAAGTTTGATGCCAAGCCTCGGCTCATACGATGAATCCTTCTTCTCTAGGAGTCCGACATTGAGATCAAGGATAATAAGGTTGCGGAAAACTTGAATGATGATCATCTATCCCAACTCGAAGGTCCTTTGATAGTCAAATTTGATGAGGAGATTCATGATTCCTTTTGGATGAGAGACTCATCATGATGTGCTTCATGAAGAGTGTCATCCCATGGTATTTCAATTTTCCAAAATTTATCTTATGAAGGAGATGACTACTGATAGACCGTTATTTACACATGTTTTTACCCCTGCTCTTACTCTGTTTGAGGTATTGATTCTCGTGTTTTAGGCCGATTTCACGCTAGGTTGTGCTTGTTTATGATATTTCAGGTCCTAGTACGTGAATGGAGGCTTGGGAGCGAGTTTGGGGTCGATTGGACGAGGATCGGACGCATGGCGAGGTTCTGAGGAAGTCGCACGGGCACACCCACAACCCACACGGCCGTGCAAGTGACCAGTTTGGCCGTGTGGGATTGTGCGAGAGCAAACACGGGCAGAGCAGAAAACCCACACGGCCGTGTGAGGATGTATGTTGGCCGTGTGGAATTCTGCGAGGCCAAACACGGGCACAAGTGAAATCCACACGGCCGTGCAAAGTGCAACCCTGGCCGTGTGAGATGGCTGAAGATCGACTTAATGGTACGCTGCGTTTCGACTCGCACGGGCAAGATGGTGAGCCACACGGCCGTGCGGCATGCCCGTGTGAGTCGGGGAATTCTGGTTTTTAAGCAGATTTCAGCCAAAACAGAGGGGGATTCGAGTTTTAGAGAGACAGAACGATTCCTAGAGAGAGAAAGCGACGAACAAGAGTCTCCAAGTGCCCTAGCTTGATCTTCAACACCATTGGAGCTTGGCTTGAGCTTGGAGAGGTGCCGATTCAACGTCCAGGAGCAGAAATCCATCTTCACAGTATGATTTCCGCGTCTGATTCTGCTTTTGCTTCTTTCTCCATGGAGTAGTTCTCCCATTCATCCGGGTGTGGGAAACCCTAGATCTGTATGTTAGGATTGATTGTATGAACCCAAGTACTGTTTCTATGATTTGATTATATTCGATTGAGGTTTGAATGATTGAATGACTTGAATCCTGATCAAATTCCTGTTGTTTCTGCTTTAACCTAGAATGAGAATATCTGCCTAGGTTAATAGAGTATCCTTGATTGAAGGTGGCGAATTGGTGACTTTAGTCGAGGAGCCAATTCGCTATTCTGTACCGAATTCCATTCGGTAGTGGAGGTTTGGTTCGTTAGGGCCTCAATCTGTTTACTCCGGTGGAGGTTAGTCGCCCGCTAGAGACTCAGATTGAGAGGGTCTGAA